GAAAAATTGATTATAATTTACTTATTATATAAAATTATAGAGTTAAATTTTTTATAAAAATCAAATTAAAACAATTAAATCTCAATGAAATGAGTATATCAAATATCGAGGATGTTTGTTTTTGTTGTGTGATAAACAACTCTCAACTACTTATTTTTAATTAAATAAATTAAATACTTTAAATTATACTCAATGATAATTATTATTAATTAAATATTAAATATTAAATGAACAATTCACTTCAATTTAGTGTCATAGATTCTGGATTACGATCATTCATCTTTTATAATTGTGGGTGATGTACTCGAATTTCACATTTCTCATTTCTCCTCTTTCACTTAATTAATATATGTAATTAATTTTAATTTGATAAAAAAATTAAATATTAAATATATTTAAATGATAACTAATCTAAACACCTATATAATTTTTAAAAATATATATATAAAATCAGATTTTTCATAACTTTAAAAAATGAAACGGTTTTTTTTTTTTTTTTTGACATGGGCCATAGTTAAAAATTAGAAATTAGATTAATACTTTACTTTTTTCGGTTTCCCATCCGGTATTCGGCGTTTCGTCCCGACTAATTCGGACATATGCAAAGATTCGAACTCGAGACCTTACTTAACCTGGAAGAAGCCGCTTACCACTTGATTCAACCTCTCGTTGGTGATTAATACCTTACTTTTGGTAAGATTCAATCACTGATTAAAGATACAATTCACCAATAATCTTATTGAGTTACAGTAACTACCGATGAACAACGGGAATATAAAATGAAACGTGTTAGATCATAATATAAGTGGACAAAACTGTCCTGCAACTTGCAGACAAAATAACCAATCAGCCCCACTCTGCACGACCCAAACAGCCACGTGCTCGTGGCTAAAATGACCCGACAACACGTCTATTTGTCACAAAAATATTACCAGTGCCCTAAAGGGAAAAGTGATGTGCAAATGGAATTCTATCGTACTATATAATAATTATTATTCGATAAGTGTTGAATTTTTTATATTAAAATGTTTTTTATTTATTAATTTTTATTTTATAATTTAATATAATTTAAATAATAAAATAAAATTTTGTTACATTAAAAATAATATACTATTATAGTAAAAATTATAGTAAATTTTTTTTACATTGAAAATATTCCTTCTCATAATTAATAAATATAAAAATAAAAAAATTAAAATTAAAATATCATAATATTAAAAATACTAAAAAATTTAATATTAATCATATGATAGATAAAACTTAAATAAAACATATAATATGTATGACTTATTTTATAATTATAACGAGATATTTTGATATTTTTAATATTAATTCATCTTTTTTTGCAACCCCATATGAAAATATTTTTAATAAATTTTATTAATGATATTTTTATTTGCAATAATCTCAAACAAATAATAGTAATTCTTTATAGATAAATTTTATTTGTGATTATTTCGTTATATTGTTACATAATTATAGTAGTAAATTTTTTTTATCTTTTACTATTTAAAAATATAAAACCTTCGTAAAACAAATAGTTGTAAAACTAAATTTGAATGGTCAAATATCAAATTTTGTAAAAAGGAAAATTAAGAGGAAAAAAAAGTCTTGTAAAAAAAAAAGAAAATAATAACCTTCATTTAATAATTTTTTTCTTTGATTTTAATTATATAATAATTTTTTATATTTCTTAACCTATTCCACTCCCCGAACATATAAATTAAATTAAAAAAATTGTATTTCTTAGTAAAAAAAAAAAAGAAGAAGAAGAAAGATCACTATTATATTAGTAACGGCAATGGCCCTTCATTCAGCACTTTTATAATTTTGCTTTCTGGCAAAAGCAGAAACTGGGGATTGGGGCTGGGGATGCGCAGTTCAATTTTTGAATCTGAAAAATCATGACGTTCTGGACTATACTCCCCACCTCATTGGATTCCTTTCCCTTCTTTACCGTTGGTTAATTTGTTCTTCCCATTCTACCCCTCATCGTCATCGTTTCCCGCGCCCAAACAGACATGCCACCTCACGGGTGTGCCGTTTCGAATCAACGTCCACGTGTACGGCTCCTGATGCAATCACACACGGGTGACTGCGTTTAGTCTACCCTTTTAGTTGATGTTTTGCAGCACGTGCGAAATCCATGGGCGGTCATTTACCCAAAAGTGACCCAAGGGTGAGGGGGTTAACGACGTCAAGATTATATGACGGCGAGCGCTCTTTCCTTTTTTGGCCTCGGGTAAAGCGATGAAAAGAAACAGACAAAGGTACTCGCATTGGGAAGAAGAAATTTTTACATTTGCACTTTGCACCCATAACTATGTCCAGATGAACAAAGTGCCATATGTTTTATAAATTAATATAAATAAACAAAGAAGTACGTAA